GAAATTTTAAATAGTTTTAAAGTTACAAGGTATCAAAGTTAAAAACATTAACAAAAACTATAGAAATTATTTTCTAGACCTCATTTTTAGAAAGAAATGTCCCTCTTTTTGTGAAAAATCAAGCTTTTTTGAACAATTGTCCTACTTTTATAAATTGTCCATATGGCAACCCTACATGTAATATTTAGTGGCCAAGATGTACATTAACCATTTCCTTACTAAAAGTGGATCAGTAATGACCCGAAATTTAAATTTTTAAAAATATTTCTTGATTTCCTGCTTTTTTAGTGATATTTCCAAGATTATTCCTTATATATATTAAGAATATAATGGAAAATTTTGTAGTTTGGTGTCCTGTGCGCAGATCTGTTTGCTTATGAAAAACTAAGCATATGTACTTATAGGTATCACTATTGTAAACAAAACATATTAGTTCCCTAAATGAGTAGGTAATAATGACAAAATTCATTTTTTTAATCTCTACTTTTACTAAATAGTATACATTACCTATTTATTTTAGATAGTTTCTAATGGTCACACTTTTGCAAAGCTGCCAAGGATCCAATAAATTAAAGTTGAAACTACCAATTCAAAGAAGAAATTCAAGACTGCAAAAAATAGGTGTAACTGACCTCCTAAATATAAAAAAATGAAATTGGGAAAGGATAAAAAAGAACTCAGAGTTTTGATTAAAAGACTTGAGTTTTCTCCAGAATTGATAAAGAATATTTCTAAATATTATATTATTAACATAGAAAATACTACAAAAAGTTACACTTGTAGAATTTGTAATAATTCTTATAGCTTACGTCCTAGCCTTATGCTGCATTTAAAGATTCACAATCCAGATAATCAATGCAAATGTAATATTTGTGGTAAAATTTTTAAAACAAATGGTTATTTAAAAAGTCATAAAAAATCACACACTTATATAAAAAATCACAAATGTTCACAGTGTGAAAAATATTTTTATAGTCAGCGGCATGTCAATATGCATTTTGCTGACGTACATATCGGTAACAGATATTTCTCATGTAGTATTTGTTTTAAATCATATAAACACAAAAATGTTTTAGACGAACACATTTTAAGGCACACTACTCAAAAACAATTTGCTTGTACTTTGTGTAATTTTAAGACTTCTTATAAAAATTATTTAAAGAAACATTTAATTAAACATACTGATGGAAAATTTAACAAACGCAATATTACTTCTAAAAATGTTTCCAGTATTCCTTCTCAACAGCACAAATTTTTTCAATGTCATATTTGCAATTTAAAATTCTCTCAGAAAGATAATCTTGCAAAACATACCGTGATACATAGGGAAGAAAGGCCATTCAAATGTAAGATTTGTGAGAAAGCATTTAAGAGAAGTACTGTTTTAAGTAAACATCTCAACACACACACTGGGAAGCAAACATTCAAGAAGTGTGATATTTGTAACAAAGAAGTAAGTAATTTTAAGTCACACCTTTTAACACATACTGGCGAAAAAACTTCGTTTGTTCTATTTGCAATCAAGCATTTGCTCTTAAATGTAATTTAAATGTCCATTTAAAAATTCACACGGGCGAAAAACCACATGTTTGTTCAATTTGCAATCACGCTTTTGCTCTTAAATATAATTTAACAACTCATATCAGAACTCATACAGGCGAAAAGCCATTTCCATGCAAATTTTGTGCCATGTCATTTGCCTACAGTTCTAACTTGAACAGACACAAGACACATGCGCGTGATGCATAATAAAAAGATCAAATCGAAGCGTATGGTAAAATACAGATGAGACATTTCGGACATTTCGTTCTGGTTACATTTTTGTACAACGGCGTAAGTGGAACCTACAAAATCACTAGTTGAACTTAAAACTTGTCTGATTTTTTTTTGTAGTAATGAAAAAGGTTTTATTACTTTCTAGCTAAATGTATTTTATTTATTTATAGTTACATCATAAAAACAACTTATGCCAATTACAGGGTGACGGGAAAATGTACAAAATACAAAAATAGGTTCGTATCTAAGGCTTTACAATTTGAAAATTAAAATTAGTAGATTTTGACACATTGGTTTAAAAGTTTAATAATAATAATCTCCTTAATTCGCCCCCTTACGAGTAAATTTGAACCCCTGAAGCCGTCTGAGCATGTGTGGGGAAGGGACGACCATTATTACTATTTGCCGTGACGTCCGGTGCGACGTGCTCGTCCCAAGTTCCCCACCCCAGCGCATTATGAAAATGAGAAACACTAATCCCATCATATGCAGCAAGGACCGATTTGTTCCACGGTTTACTAGCAATCCTCTTCCACTCCTATGAAGAATTAAATGAACGTTAATGCTTTTACAGTTCACCGCAGGGGCGCTGGTGTTGCTAGTGATGTTAAAAATACATGGCTTCTCATGGAAATTTTACATAATTTTCCAAAAAAAAATCAAAATAAACTTGTTTATTGCTAAATAAATGACAGAAAATACTGTTGTATTTATTTCTAAATAAGTCTGGCATGTTTTAATTCTATAAATAATGCAAATTAGGTAGGTATGACCGAATTCTAAATGGTTTGTTGACTGGTGAAGTTTGGTAAGTACAATAATTTTGTGAATTTTTTTTTGCATTATACATAAAAATAGTTTTAAGAAAAAAATGATCCATAGATAACAGCATATTTTTATTGTTATAATAGAAGCATAAAGGGAAATTTGGGAATGTACATGGTATTGCCTCATTATTTAATTTTAACCTTCCCCTTTTTATTTTGTTAAAACTACTATCAGTAAAAGGAGTCTCATAATATTTGTAAATATCTTCTAGAATGTATAGCTCGCAAACAGCATCATTTCTAGTTCTCTAGAAAGTGCTGGCCCTAGGAATAAATAAGTGACCATCTATCCCGATTTTAATGCACTATAGTCCCAAAAATGTGTCCCGATTTTGTCATGCTTTTGCCTGACGAAAAAAAAAATATTTCATTTAAGCCGCCTAACTACTACAACGCACTCCATTAAAGATTTCTTTATTTTTGCTCTTCAATTTATCGGTACTCACGTAATTACTAAAATATAGTTGACCCTCTGGAATTGTCTTTCTTCACTGCAGCCCTTCTTGGAACTAGTTCCAATAGGTAAAGTGGAGCAAACCACTCTAAAACAAACTGGCGCCCGAGCATACCCAGTTCGAACGTCACAAGTGAGAGTATTTCTAACCAGTTGAGAAAACCTCTCACAGAATTTGTCGAAAAAATCTCCATATTTTCGATTGGTCCCGATTTCTACTTTTCAAAATATGGTCACTTTACCTAGGAACAATGTTGTGTTACTGTTCAGAACGTTTAGGATCATACAAATAATTTACAATGACAAAATTGGGGTTAAACAAAAAAGTAACAATAGTAACTCTTCATCTAACATTTAAAACTAAAAAGAAAAACAAATTTTCTTTTCTAGTAAGTTAAATCTTCTATAAATATACCTAATCCTGGATCTTTAAATATCGAAAGACATCCAAATTCCGAAACTGTTTCAATTCAATATCTATAGGTATTATCAAAGATAAACATTAAAAATGGGATTTGCAAATAAATATTAATAAACTCGGTGGATTATGTAATATCAATATTTAAATATTTAAAAAATTGTCCGAGTGTAACTAACAATTCTTCTAAACCAGAGGTTCCTAAACTCTTTTGTTTCATAGACCATCCGCTTACGATTGTGGACCCCCATTTTTTATTACGCCCAACGTAGACCCCCGTCGGGTCTCTCGTGGACCCCTGGGGATCCACCTGGACCACTCTGGGAAATACTGTTCTAAACCACTAACTAATTTATTGGGACATAACGTGTAAGAGAATTTTTGTTACTGAATTTTGTAAAATTTTCTAATTTTACTTATACGGTATTTTCCTCTTGTGAATAAAGATGAACAACTTTAACGATTTTCTTATTAATTTTGTATAGGTAATTATTTTTCTATTGTTTTGTAATATTTTAAATTATAAAATGTAGACTCTGTTGGATTTTGCTTTTTTATTTTAAAAACATACCTCAATATAATGTGCTTTAAAGTCAAGGATCATTTTTAAAGTCCAATAAATGAACAAACCTAATTTTAAATTAAAATTAATCGAAAATAGAAATATACTTCCAATAAGGTCAAACAATGCATTTATATTTGTATGTAACGACACAAATCGATCGTTTGGCAACATGGCATTTGTTGTGGCTGGAAATTTTAGTAATAAGAGTCAACGAATCAAAAAATAGACAATGAAGAAAACGTTAAACTTGTAACATGAGAGATGTTTGATACGACAGGATATCGTTATTGAAAGTATCGATACAAAATATCGATTGAAATAAATGTGTATATTCTTTTTTCTCATTTTATAAAATAGGTAGTTCTAATATACATACAATTTATAAATGCTGTTGAATAGATAGTAAATACATTTAAATAGATAAAAAAATAAGATTATCTCGTAGATACATTTTATTTTATATGATTGAGTAACATTTCCCAAGCATTCTTTTAATTACAGTTTTTATGGGACGGTATTAAATATTAAATACATAAAAATCTTATAAAAAATCGACTTCATAGGTAGTGCGACTGTAATTTACATAGAAGTCAGTAACTCTTCTTGTAGGATTATTATGAACTTGGTGATTAAACATAAAAAGTCATCAAAGTATTTAGGAGTATTTCCCGACACAATTTTGTATAAAAATAACAACATAAATATTCTGATTATTGATGACCAACGATGAACTAGTGTAAAAAGTGTTGCATAATATGTAGGTCAAATGTTCGATTCGATAATACGGCTCCGTATATCGATACTAAGTAAAGAATCGCTCCAAAATAACGAGTATCGAATCATAAAAGTATTGAACATCTCTAATAAAAACACATGTATTTTGCGCGCGAAATACTAAAAATACCGGTTGTATAGTACAATCATTCCTCCATGGTACAATCATTTGTTTATGTTTTTTGAACGATTTTTTAATACTTTTTTTTATAATAAACTGACTTATAATCTTTTTCTATTCTTAAGTGAATTCAATTGAATTAAACATTTAGAAAATATTAGGTAAGTACTTATTTATGTATTAACATTAACAGGTTATTATATATTTTTAAATTTTTAAAAGTGAGCCCCAAAATGTATCTGAATTATGGATAAATTGTAGAAATTGTACTTAACAAAATGGGTTAAAATTCACCATATATACGACTAATTTTTTATTATATTAATTTATTTAATAATTAAAGTACCTTCTTAACACATTGTCTGCTATGTCTTTCGCGATATATTTGTAAGACAGGTACGTTTCTATTCACGGCGATGCTATTTAATGTTAAATATGGTTTACCAGATAAAAGCTTCTCCAGCCAGGACAATTTTATGAAAAAATCCGTATAAAATACGGAGGTTATAAAATTTCTTTCAAAAAGTTAGAAAGGTGTTATTTTTCACATTATTACCTCAATGACATGGTTTTACGAATTTAATTTTATTAATTAGGTATTCTAACGACCTGTCAAACAATAGCCTGCTAGTGGGAAATGCTTGTATATAAGGAGAGTGCGGCACATTCTTCCCTCTTGGACACTAGCTTTATTCAAAAAAGTAGTCAATTCATGAAAAATGTATAAAGCTTTTTTTTTTTCATTTTGTTCGACATAAAATATTTAAATTGAATCCATAGTATTCATGAATACATCGAGGAATACATTTTATGTCACAAACCACAACCCCTTAGATATATCACTGACAATTCTTTTGTTTGACATACCTAATTAAACAAAAAAGGCAAAAAATTATATTTCATTAGGCTGCCATTTCTATTAGGAGGGTTTAACAGTACAGAGTTTATTGACAATTTTTAATGACATTTTCCTGATCTAGTTTTTGTATTTTTTGTTGTTAAAAAGACAACTACTTTAAAATCTGGATGCTTATGCAAAATCCGCCCGGACACATCCAGATGTATTAAAAACTCAAACATGTCTGGGCAAATCCGGACATCTGGTGGCAACCCTAATTATGAATGACACCACAGTGTTTTTTTTAATGACTAATCTCAACTGTAGCCTGTGCCAAACATACTACAAATGTTGGTTCAAAGAAACAGAAAAATTTTGCTGGTGGAAGATACACAAACTAACTGTCTTTCTGTTAATAACATTTTTTATTTCTTACTTACTATGATCATATAATACTTGTGGCCACAGAGAAAAAAAGATGAACAAGTTAGAAAAGTTATTTTAAAAAACCAATGAGATTGCTGATTTTATTATAGATGCCATCATCAGATCTTGACTAAATGTATATGGGACCACCCCTGAGGTACCCCCTTTCTAGCAAAGAAAGAATCAAAAAAATCAGACAAAGTATTAAAGAATTATCAATGAACATACATAAAAAAATAAAGAGTTTAATAATTTTCTTATGAATGCAATTAATAGATCTTGATCAAATTTATATGAGACCACCCCTAAGGTATTCCCTTTCTAACTCAAAAAGAATCCTAGAAATCGGACAATGTGGTAAAAAATTATCTTTGAACATACAAAAATTATATTCGGATGAATTATTATTGAGAACATCTTTTTTGAAGCCAGTTAAACACTTGACTAGTTCTAATGCATTATTTTAGATTTTGTAGCTTCCCGCAGGTATTGTATAACAAAATAACACATTATTGTCTATATGAGAGATTGAAATGTCATGCATATTTAATTTAATAAAAAAGTAAATAGAAAGCATTAGATCAGGGGTCAGTAAGTACCTTGTAATATTCCAATTTTAATTTTTATACCATAACTGAGGACGTTATTAATATTTACTTTTTTTTCAAATAATTTTTTTAAAGGGTATCTCACATCTTACAAAAAACTTACATGAAACTTACAAGTGATTTACATGGTATTTTAAACCAACCAGGGTTAGGAGTTGAAGTAATATCTTGCTGTAATTTGTAAGCAAAACAAAGTGCCATAATCATCTTCCCACTTCTTTGATTTTAATCTATTTTAAAGATATTTCAAAAACATAAGTCTTAAAATCACACAAACAACTTAAGATTATTTTCCTTCTCCTTTGTTCTATTGTTAACAATACCGTAATAGGCTTGCCCAAGGGTTGATATTAGAGACATGCAGATTAAAAATCTACTCAGAATTACTTAAATAAGTCAGGATTTAGTTAAGATTTTGGGTTTTATAACTACAAAAATCTTTATTTTTACAATGTGCACAGAACAGTTAATAATAACTGTCAATTTGTCAACTGTCACACGTCATCGTTTTACAACAAAAGTTGCGTTCGGTTTGGCCGGGGGCTGGAACGGGACAGGAGCGGAGTTTTTTATGGCTATATCAAGCTAGCGGGCACTCTGTGGCGGCCAGTGTTGTTCCTGGTTATACAATTGTATAAAAAGTTGTACAATCAGTTATGTGGTTGTACGCACTTTTGAAAAAAGGTAGAAATGTTGTACAAGTTGCTAAATATTTATATAAAATCTGGTATATCGTAAATCGTATGAATTAAAATTAATAAAACAATAATCTTTGAATTTGGCGCCATTCGCGACCAATCAGTACACCGTTTTACATCGAAAACATTTTTTTAAACTGGAAAAAAGAAGAATATTAAGCATCGGGAAGTAGTAGACTAATTAGTGGTTGTACAATCGAACGTAAAAGTGTACAATTTTGACATTAAAATCCCTAGGAACAACACTGGTGGCGGCACCATGTGGCAGCACCATGTGGCAGCACCATACAAGACCTGCAGGGTTATTCTACTAAATTTATAGCCCGGCTAAAAGTTTATAGCCCGGCTACAAGTTGGATTTTGAAGTTAGGAACATATAAAGTTCAAGCCAAAATCCAACTTGTTGCCGGGCTATAAATTTAGTAGAATAACCCTGCTGGTGGTTTTTTTGTAGCATTTTTGTAGCTTTTTTGTTACGCTATTTGCGAATTTGTAGCTTTGCCCAGGTGCGAAAAAACAGCGGATCCGCTAGCTTGAATTTCCATAAATTCCATAGTAGCGGCACAGATTCAGACCCAGCTGGTTTTTCGTAACTTTTTTGTAGCTTTTTTGTTACGCTAGTCTCCCTTTTGTAGCTTGTACTGAACCTGAGAAAAGCGCGGATTCGCTAGCTTAGCGGATATTTGTAGCGGCACCAGCTCGGACCAGGCTCATTTTTTGTAACTTTTTTGTAGCTTTTTTGTTACGCCTGTCTCCATTTCGTTACGAGGCCTGAACGTGAGTAATAATCGTTTCTCCATGAGCGTGAGAGAAAAGTGCGTTAATTTAAAATCAAGTTTCGGCCTCTACAAGTAATATGTGCAACTCGATAGTGTGACTATCTGTTGATAGATGGCACCAGTATTGCATTTCACGAATTATGGCCATCTTCCATCCAATATATTTTTGAGAAATTTAGATATAATCTCAAAATCGGACATTTGTTTTAAATGTTTTTTAGTGTTGTTTATGTATTTATACTTTTGTTGAATCAAAAATATTCTTACATCTTTTTTGAATGATTTCCTTAACCAATCGTTTTGCAGTATTTATGGACCAGTGTTTAATTCTGTCGGATCACAACTATACAATGTGTTCCATCTCAGACGAGCCACCCCGTATATTTCTTATCCCATAGTAATTGGAAAAATTTCCCGAAACACGTCGGATGATTTTCTTTGGGGGACATTTTTTGACGTATATTTGAGGCTTGAACCAGCAACCCCCTATGAGGGGGCGCTTCAACCCCTCAAAATGGAATAGGGAAGAAGGGTTGAGTGATACATCATTTGTAAGATCTTGAAAGCCTCTTTACAACGGTGTATGAAAAAAATCACATTCTTAAAAAAAATTAATTGTTTTATCACATGAAATGATCGAAGAAACGTGATAAACACCTTCTAAGAACAAAAAATGAAGGCAAAATAAGAAAATGTTTTGATTTTTTTAATTTATTAGTTCGAGAGAATTTATTATTGCATGGAAGTCAATGGAAGACAAATTGAACATTTCATTTAAAAAAGCAGTTTTTATTTTTTTGATTGTAAGCATGATAAAACAATTGATTTTTTTTTAAGAATGTGATTTTTTCATACACCGTTGTAAAGAGGCTTCCAGGACCTTACAAATGAAGTATCACCCAACCCCTCTTCCCTATTCAATTTTGAGGGGTTGAAGCGACCCCTTATAGGGGGTTGCTCGTTCAAGCCTTAAATATACGTCAAAAGATGTCCCCCAAAGAAAATCATCAGACGTGTTTCGGGAAAGTTTTCCAATTACTATGGGATAAGAACTACGGGGTGGCTCGTCTGAGATGGAACACCCTGTATATAGTGAGAATAGGTAATTGCTTGGTAGCTATTACCACCGGTGTGAAGTTAGCAGTAAGTTTTTAGCAGTAAAAATAACCGAAAACACCCGATCGGGGGAAAATAGTGGCGTCCGGCATACAACTATTTTAATAATCTTGTCAATATGTATTTTACATTAATATCGGACAAATAATTAATATACATACCGTTGAAAATGTCCTATTTTGAGATTATATCTAAATTTCTCAAAAATACATATATTGGATGGAAGATGGCCATAATTCGTGAAATGCAATACTGGTGCCATCTAGCAACAGATAGTCACACTATCGAGTTGCACATATTACTTGTAGAGGCCGAAACTTGATTTTAAATTAACGCACTTTTCTCTCACGCTCATGGAGAAACGATTATTACTCACGTTCAGGCCTCGCAACGAAATCGAGACAGGCGTAACAAAAAAGCTACAAAAAAGTTACAAAAAATGAGCCGGGTCCGGGCTGGTGCCGCTACAAATATCCGCTAAGCTAGCGGATCCGCGCTTTTCTCAGGTTCAGTACAAGCTACAAAACGGAGACTAGCGTAACAAAAAAGCTACAAAAAAGTTACGAAAAACCAGCTGGTTCTGAATCTGTGCCGCTACTATGGAATTTATGGAAATTCAAGCTAGCGGATCCGCTGTTTTTTCGGACCTGGGCTAAGCTACAAATAATTTGCAAATAGTGTAACAAAAAAGCTACAAAAAACCCGCCAGGTCTTGAATGGTGCCGCCACAGAGTGCCCGCTAGCTTGATATAGCTCGCTAAAAGGGTTGTTTGGAGTTAAAAGTGTTAAAAGAGTTAAAGTAGCTTGACCGAACGCAATGAAAAGTGCTTGTACATGGTTGCCACTTTTGACAATAAATACTATATATTTAGGAAAACAATTTTCTTATATTTTTTTCTACTTTTTAGCTGTTACAAAAAAGATAAATAGTAAATCAAATCTACTTTAAAAATAAATTTCCGACCTTAATATTGTACAGACTTTTTAAACCTGTTCCTTAAAAAAAAGTAAAAAAAAAAATTAGGGATAAGATGAAAACCTAACTTTTAACATTTGTCGAAATTTAATAAATTGCATTTTAAAAATATTTTTATAGCGCTTATACAAACAACACTTATATGTCTTTTTAGTCTTAAAGAGTTGTATAAAGACAACATAAGTCCTTATTAACCATTTTATAATGTTTTTAGCAGGACAAGACTAGTATACTATAAAATGCCATTTTTATTGAAGGAATTGTTTATTTTATCCATCCATTCTGCATAATTCACGTTTAAAAATGAAAATGTCTATTGAAAAAACAGATTTGTTTAAATAATTGCATGTACAAATCATCATCTTAAGAAATAAAACAAAAATATTTTAGTTAAATTAAAAATATGACACTTTTTTAGGTCAAAGTATTAATTGCCTTAATTTTTCGACAAAATATGTATACTCGTATATATTTTGTTAGTAAAATGGACTCCGCAATAAATTTTTCTTTCTACCTTGTTTGATGTACTAAAAATATATTTTACTTAATTTCCTTCATCATTTTTAAAGAGTTTGTAGGTGCATCATTATAATTAAGATTGTTTATTTGCATTATAAAAAAGTCTTAATTTTATTCACTAAAAAACAAAACGATTGTTTAACTATTTCTTTATGTTGTTTATCACAATTATTATTGTAACATTTTTATAGCAGTAATATTAAAATTTACAACACTGTACTAAAATGCGTACGTAAATTTGTTGTATACTTATAAAAGAGTTTTATAATTAATCACATAAAATTGCTGTATAATAGTTGTATAATTTTGTTATAGAATTTCTATATAATCAAATTGTTGTATAAAATAGGGCCCTTTTTGGTTGTATAAAAATTATATAGGAGTTTTTAAACACATTATAGGATTTACACATTTCTTCAAGATATGTTGTATTAGAGTTCTATGAACCTTTATAATACTTATTTGCTTACTGGTGTGGTTCTATAGTTTTTTTATATACAGTGTGTCTGAAAAAGTTGGCAACAAATGGGAAACTTTTTTATTATTAAGTTTAGGAAAAAACGTCATTCTTCATAAAAAGTTCTGCAAGGCCTAAAACCCAATATACGATAATCAGATATCGAAATTTTCCAATCGTATACGAGGTTTGTCAAAAAGTATGAATTTTGCTCAAGAGTAAAGTACCTTTATTTTCGACAATATCTAAAATTGTTATTAAGTAAAGTTGATTAGAATTGAAAACTACGTTTAAATGTCTAATTACAGCTATCTACGATAAAAACCAGGTTTTATTATTGTTTACAATTTCTTTAAGATCGAAAATGATCAAAAACTAGGTATCTAAATTATTGACCTGTATAAAATCAAGTTGCTGTGGAAATGTTTTGAAACATATCTTATGTCAGTATGCTTCAAAACCTCAGTTTGTAATAATTGTACTTTTTTAAATACTAGTAAAAATGCCGTTGAAATTAAGTCTTGAAGAGAAAATTGAAATTGTTTTAATTGTTGGAGATAACTACAAAACTTATAGGGAAGCTGCCATAATCTTTAATAACAGACATCCTGATAAAAATGTACATTTTGCAACAGTAAGTAAAATAATAAAAAAGTTCGAAGTGTTCCGGAAATGTTGAGAATAAATTCAAAAAGAAACATGAGGCATGGGTTGCTACTGAAGAAATTCAAAATCAAGTAATGCTCTCAGCAATAGAAAATCCTAAAGATTCCATAAGAAAAAGGGCAGCTTTACTTGGTGTGCGCAAAGACGTAGTTGCAGGAATATTAAAAGCAAACAAATTTAAACCTTACAAACCCCAGTTCACTCATACCCTAAAAGCAGGAGATTTTAATAGAAGATTTGAATTTTGTGCTTGGTTCCAAGGGGAGTTAGAAGATAATAATTATATGGCACGGTGCATAATTTTTTCGGACGAGGCAACGTTCACTTCTAATGGGGTAGTCAGCTCACAAAATTGCCGTTGGTGGAGTGATGTTAATCCTAATTTCACTGTCCAAACTCGTGACCAATACTGTTTTAAAACAAATGCATGGTGTGGAATTTTTAAAGATAGAATAATTGGACCATTTTTTTTTCGAACTAATATGAATGCTGAACGTTATCTGGAATTTTTAAATAATGAGATTCTTGAATTTCTTCATAACCTACCAATAATGGAAAGGCAACGTACATGGTACCAACATGATGGAGCAACCTGCCATAGTACAAGAAATGTTCGAGAATGTCTTCTACAAATTTTTAACGGAAGAGTAATTGGAAGATTTGTGGACTTTGCTTGGCCTACAAGATCTCCGGACCTGACCCCCCTAGACTTCTTTTTATGGGGATACTTGAAGCAAAAGATATACCTTAAAAGACCGTTTGAAAATATTGATCATTTGGAAAGAATAATTAGGGAAACATGTGACGGTGTTACTCCAGATGTTATTAGAAATGCAATAAAAGAATTCTCTCGAAGAACAATTACCTGCTTAGAAAGGGACGGTGGATATGTTGAGGCGTACGTGCAGTGAGGGAAAAGTTAATCCGGATTCTTCTTTTTCATGCATGTAATGTTTGATGTTGTGTTTTGAAAATAAATGATTTTAATTATGTATGCATTTGTTTACATTGTATTATTGATAACTCGTGCAAAACAAAGTCAATATTTATAGCAAAATTTGCAATGAGAAAATGAGTGGTGTAATCAGTAAGTGCACATGAACATAATTTTTAATTTCTATCGATATCTGAGGTTTTGAAGCATACTGACATAAGATATGTTTCAAAACATTTCCACAGCAACTTGATTTTGTACAGGTCAATAATTTAGATACCTAGTTTTTGATCATTTTCGATCTTAAAGAAATTGTAAACAATAATAAAACCTGGTTTTTATCGTAGATAGCTGTAATTAGACATTTAAACGTAGTTTTCAATTCTAATCAACTTTTCTTAATAACAATTTTAGATATTGTCGAAAATAAAGGTACTTTACTCTTGAGCAAAATTCATACTTTTTGACAAACCTCGTATACGATTGGAAAATTTCGATATCTGATTATCGTATATTGGGTTTTAGGCCTTACAGAACTTTTTATGAAGAATGACGTTTTTTCCTAAACTTAATAATAAAAAAGTTTCCCATTTGTTGCCAACTTTTTCAGACACACTGTATATTTATTGAGTGGCATAATATTTGAAGAATTAAAAACATTTAAACAAATCCAATTATTATTAAGATATTAAAAAAATAACATAAAATTCAAAATTTTTATCTTTTCAGTTCTGCTGATACATTACAATCTGAAGAAAGTAACGACATGGAGCAAAACCACCCAGACATAGAGACTATAGAAGACATAAGGGAACAAATACTAACCGATAAAGAGAAGGAAGAGTTATACAGACTGTTGAGAATTGAGGAGAAAAGAATGGCCGCAGAGCTGAAAGCTCAAAAAGAATTGAAAAAGGAACAACAGAAACTACTTGACATAGAAGAAAAACTAAGATTAAAAGAAGAAAAAGTTAGATTGAGAGAGGAACACAAAGAGGAACAGAATAAGTTAAGATTAGAAAAGGCAGAACAGAAACGGAGGGATATGCTATCAAGAGAACAGGAGAAATATAAAAAATTAAAAGAAAGAAAACGTGCTGAAGAAGAAGCGGTACAAAGAAGAAAAGAAACGGCTTTAAAAGGAATGCAATATTTACTCAATATTAGTGAGAAGTATTCCGATTTTTTTAGAGATAAACTCATTCCTGAAACAGAGGGGTAATTTACCTTTTGAGTTTAACATAGGATCTCATTTTTATAATCATTTTTTATTTTAGAGCCAGTAAAGTTCTACAAGACAAAAATAAACTGCAACCAACCGTTTCAGATATGAAACAAGCTGCCGACAGAAAATCTGAGAAAACTGCAAGTAAAGGGGCCATTAAGAAACAAGGTGAATCAATTTTATAAAAAGCATCTAAAGTCCTCTTTTTTGTATGTAATCTTTGGTTAAACGTAAATACTTTGTGACAAGTGACATAACCATTACAGGTAACATCACAATGCTATTTTCACAACTGATTTTAAATTGGATGATATGACGAGTGACATCTCGTTTGAAAGGCATTTCAAAGACCTGTGTTCCATTTAAAATTATCAGTAGAAAAATTTAAGCATCCCAAATTTCATTTAGGTTCAAAAAGATTACATGGGGGAAAGGAACTTTAAATGTGCACTGTATGTAATTATTATTATTACATATTTTTAACAAGATTTTAACCTAGTTTCAGATACTATTGATGTGATGAAAATGCTAAATTATTTTGTTGGAGGTGAACTAAGGCAGTATCAAATTGACGGTGTGAAGTGGATGAATGTAAGTGTTTTTATTATTTATTATCAACGTCAAATACATTATTTTGTGATTTAAATGTTCTTTAAGGGATAAGTGAAATGTTTTAAATAGTTTTAATGTTTTAAGTTGAAATAAATTTTCCACGAGTTTTAACGTACTCGGGAATGGAACTTTTATATAAATTTGATATTAGAGTAAAATAGGTAAAGGACCCAAATATAATTTTTACATGCCCAGGCTTAAGGGGTAAAGGGTCCAAATACTTTTACATCGGCAGGCTTAAAAAGTACTGTATTATCCAAATAGAGTTCAATTGTTTTTACATGAGAAATGGTAAAGGAAAAATATTACATGGGAAGGCTTAATGAGTAACGGGACCACCATCTTAAGGGACAAAGAGCACATATTTTGATATATGGGCAGGCCTAAGAAAGGGGTAAAGATTATGCAATTTCTGTCTCCTCCCAACTAGCAAAATTAACCTCTAAAATCTAAAAGGATAAAATTATTTTATAAATATCGTTTAGGACTTTTTATAAAACACTTATTTTTTAGTGTATGTAGTTGCAACAATTTTGTTGCTGTTGACAAATTTTGTTGTATAATCACTTAGGCAACTTAATTATAGAAAATATTATTTCTGTATGCTTATCAATTTTTTAACAGTTGTATGAGAAGTTTTACAACATTAATAAAAGTAAAAAAGATATTGATTTCGTCAATAAGAAATAGTTGCATTAAATAGTTTTATAAAGGTTCTATACAATTCTTTAGATTTAACTTATAAAATTATACTTCTAGGCGACATATAAAACAAACTACAATAATTATAAAATTGTTTTATTATTATTCTACAGTGACACTGTTCTATTTCTATTTCTTATAAATATCTTATAAAAAAATGAAGGCCAAGGATTAAATCATTGTATATTTCTTCTTTATAAAATTCCGACTACATAATGACACAACGTTATTATTTTATGCGAATTCAATGTTTGACAAACTCAGTTTTTAATTTTATGGCTTGCATAGTTATATCACATACATGACTCGTTTCTTTACTCAAAAAACATTTGTACTCAAAAAACACGTCGGATGATTTTCTTTGACGTATATTTGAGGCTTAAACGAGCAACCCTCTATGAGGGGGCGCTACAACCTCTCAAAATTGAATAATTTTTATTAATTTTTATTAATTTTTATTAATTTTTATTAATTTTTATTAATTTTTATTAATTTTTATTAATTTTTATTAATTTTTATTAATTTTTATTAATTTTTATTAATTTTTATTAATTTTTATTAATTTTTATTAATTTTTATTAATTTTTATTAATTTTTATTAATTTTTATTAATTTTTATTAATTTTTATTAATTTTTATTAATTTTTATTAATTTTTATTAATTTTTATTAATTTTTATTAATTTTTATTAATTTTTATTAATTTTTATTAATTTTTATTAATTTTTATTAATTTTTATTAATTTTTATTAATTTTTATTAATTTTTATTAATTTTTATTAATTTTTATTAATTTTTATTAATTTTTATTAATTTTTATTAATTTTTATTAATTTTTATTAATTTTTATTAATTTTTATTAATTTTTATTAATTTTTATTAATTTTTATTAATTTTTATTAATTTTTATTAATTTTTATTAATTTTTATTAATTTTTATTAATTTTTATTAATTTTTATTAATTTTTATTAATTTTTATTAATTTTTATTAATTTTTATTAATTTTTATTAATTTTTATTAATTTTTATTAATTTTTATTAATTTTTATTAATTTTTATTAATTTTTATTAATTTTAATTAATTTTTATTAATTTTTATTAATTTTTAATAATTTTTAATAATATTTATTAATTTTTATTAATTTTTATTAATTTTTATTAATTTTTATTAATTTTTATTAATTTTTATTAATTTTTATTAATTTTTATTAATTATTATTAATTTTTATTAATTTTTATTAATTTTTATTAATTTTTATTAATTTTTATTAATTTTTATTACTTTTTATTAATTTTTATTAATTTTTATTAATTTTTATTAATTTTTATTAATTTTTATTAATTTTTATTAGTTTTTATTAATTTTTATTAATTTAATTTTTATTAATTTTTATTAATTTTTATTAATTTTTATTAATTTTTATTAATTTTTATTATTTTTATTGATAATTTTTATTAATTTTTAATAATTTTTTATTAATTTTCACCCCCGTTTTCCCCCCTTAAAATGTGAAAATCCAAAAACCATTAAACATTATTTTTGATTTTTAGTAAGTAGCTGTGATTCAAATTTTTATGTTTCAAATTTTAAATAACAAAAAATATACACATAGTATTAAACAAATTTTCACCCCCCCCTTTTCCCCCTTAAAATGTTGAAATGTAAAAACCCTGAAACACTTCATTATTTATTTATGATGAGAACCTACAATTCCAATTTTCAAGTTCCTACTTTTAAAAAAATCGATATTTCCAAATAAACTTTCACCCCCCCCCGTTTGCCCCTTTTAAAATGTGAAAATCCAAAAACCCTAAAACACGTCATTATTAATTTGTACTCTTTAGCTGCAATTCCAATTTTCATGTTTCCAACTTCAAAGAGAACAAAAAAAAATACTCCCATACAAACTTTTACCCCCCGTTTGCCCCCCTCAAGATGTAAAAATATAAAAACCCTAAAACACATTATTAATTTGTACTCAGTGGCTGCAATTCCAATTTTCATATTTCCAACTTTAAAGAGAACCAAAAACAGTTACTCCCAAATAAATTTTCACTTCCCCATTTCCCCCCTTGAAATGTGAAAATCCAAAAACCCTAAAACACGTCAATAATAAGTTGTAGTCAGTAGCTGCAATTCCAATTTTCATGTTTCTTACTTTATAGAGAACAAAAAAAAAATGGATAGTCCTATACAAACTTTCACCCCCCGTCTTCCCCCCTTAAAATGTAAAAATCCAAAAACCCTGAAACACATCATTCTGTATTTATGCTTAGTAGCTGTAATTTAAATTTTCATGTTTCTAACTTTAAAGAACAAAGAGTTTCATTAAAAGCTCCCTCTTCCCATTTCCTCCAATTTCCCCCCTTTAATGTTAAAATTTTGAAAAATCCTTTCTTAGCGGATGCTTACGTGATAAAATGAACCTATGTTCCAAATTTCAGCTTTCTAGGCTCAGTAGTTTTGGCTGTACGCTGATAGGTCAGTCAGTCAGTCAGGACAAAACAATTTTATATATATAGATTTTTGCTTCTAGGTCTATTTTTAATTTGAATTTAGAAAGTTCCCTTTTGCAGACCCTATTTGAAAATGGAATCAATGGAATATTAGCCGACGAAATGGGCCTCGGAAAGACCGTCCAAATTATAGCCTTGATCTGTCATCTTATGGAAAGAAAAATACCGGGACCGTATTTAGTAATTGCCCCCCTTTCGACAATACCAAACTGGGAATCGGAATTCGAAAGATTTGCTCCCAGTGTGCCGGTTTTTGTATTTCACGGAAGCGAACATGACAGAAAAGCACAATATTCATCGTTAATGAAGAAATATGCTATTGGAGATTTTAAAACGCAAGGCGTTATTTTGACCACTTATCAAGTACCGTTGTTGGAATTCTCGTTTCTGAGTAAATTTCAGTGGCAATATATTATCATTGACGAAGGCCATCGGATAAAAAACCACGAATCCAGACTCGCAGTGTAAGTTATCTTTAAACTATCAAGCTATATATTTTTGTAACAAATATGGGAAATATTTCGAAAGTGCACGTTTTTTAAAAATCGAAGATTTTTCAAAACACATTTTAAACATATACCATTGGAAGACACATATATCTAACTTCTTCTTTTGTTTGTATCAAAATATCCTTTGCAATTTGATATCATTCTAATTGTTTTTTTTACTGTCGATTTTTATAATCAATTCTCTTTAATTCATTTTTACAATCGATCTTATTTACAATCGATTCTACTTACAATGGATTCTACTTAAATCGATTTTATTTACCATTTATTTTTCATTTTTTTACAGCTTAAGCGGAAAGTATATTCTTATTCTTATCCTAATCGATTTTTTACTCTCGATTTTTATGTACAATTTTTTTACAATTCATTTTTACGATCGATTCTATTTACAATCGATTCTATTTACAATCGCTTCTTTTTACAATCGATTTTATTAACAAATGATTTTATTTACAATCGTTGTATTTACAATCGATTCGATTCTATTTACAATCGATTTTATTGACAGTAGATAATTTTACAATCAATTTTTGCTCTCAATTATTTTTACAATCGATTCTATTTATAATAGATTCTATTTACCATCAATTTTTCAATTTTTACAATCAAACGTTAAAATAGAAACTACAGCTTAGGCGGAAAGTATATTCATTCTAATCGATTTTTATATTAAATTCTTACAATTCATTTTTACGATCGATCCTATTTACAATCGATTCTATTTACAATCGACTCTTTTTACGATCGATTATATTAACCATCCATTTTTCCTTTTTTTTACAATCAAAAGTCAAAATAGAAACGACAGCTTAGGTGGAAAGTATATTCTTATTCTTACCCTAATCGATTTTTTTACTCTCGATTTTCATATACAGTTTTTTACAGTTCATTTTCATGATCTATTCTTTTTACAATCCATTCTATTTACAATCGATTCTTTTTACAATCCATTCTATTTACAATCCCTTCTTTTTACAATTAGTTTTATTAACAATCGATTTTATTGACAATCGATACTATTATTTAAAATCAGTTTTTGCTCTCAATTATTTTTAAAATCGATTTTATTTACAATCGATACTCTTTAAAAGTGTTTTTTTACACTCGATTGTTCTTATAATCGATTCTATTTACCATCATTTTTTTCAATTTTTTACATTCAATCGTCAAAATAGAAACTACAGCTTTGGCGGAAAGTATATTCATTCTAATCGATTTTTATGTTCAATTCTTCTTACAATTCATTTTTACGATTAATCCTATTTACAATCGATTCTATTTACAATCGATTTTATTTACCACCTATTTTTTTCCTTTTTTACAATTAAAAGTCAAAATAGAAACGACAGTTTAGGTGGAAAGTATATATTCTTATTATAATCGATTTTTTACTCTCTATTTTTATAATTTTTTACAATTCATTTTTACAATCGATTATATTTACAATCGATTTTATTTACCCTCGATTCTATTTACAATCGCTTTTTTTACAATCGATTTTGTTTACAGTCGTTTCGATTTAATTTACAATCGATTCGATTCTATTTACAATCGATTCTTTTTACAATCCATTCTATTTACAATCGCTTCTTTTTACAATTAGTTTTATTAACAATCGATTTTATTTACAATCGATACTCTTTAAAAGTGTTTTTTAAAATTGATTGTTTTTATAATCGATTCTATTTACCATCATTTTTTCAGTTATTTACAATCAAAAGTCAAAATGGAAACGACAGTTTAGGTGGAAAGTATATTCTTATTCTTATCATAATCGATTTTTTACTCTCTATTTTTATATAGTTTTTTACAATTCATTTTTACGATCGATTTACAATCGATTATATTTACAATCAATTTTATTTACCATCGATTCTATTTACAATCGCTTCTTTTTACAATCGATTTTGTTTACAGTCGTTCTTTTATAATAGACTCGATTTAATTTACAATCGATTCTTTTTACAATCTATTCTATTTACAATCGCTTCTTTTTACAATTAGTTTTATTAACAATTGATTTTATTGACAATCAATTTTTGCTCTCAATTATTATTTTAAAATCGATTTTATTTACAATCGATACTCTTTAAAAGTGTTTTTTTATACTCGATTGTTTTTATAATCGATTCTATTTACCATTATTTTTTTCAATTTTTAACAAACAAAAGTCAAAATAAAAAGTTTTAACACAAATTTTCAGAAAAAAAAAATTTCGTATATTATTTGATGTTTTTCTAAATCTGGCATCAAAATTTTTCCGATACATTAAACACATTTAGCAAGAAAATTGAGAAAATATTTGGAAGGAGATAGAACAAAAATAGAGAGGGGGAGGAAATACCAAAAAAGCGAAACTTTTAATGTTTCAGTAATTTATGAAGAATTTTAAATTAATGGCTTTTTCTCTATTGCTTTTTATCAGAAATGTACGAATAATTTAAAATAAAAGCGTTTTTAAAATGTCTATCGGATGATGTCTAAAAACTTAAAAGTTGTTTACAAAATATTTGGGGTGTTAGTTTTTTTTATAATAATGATTGTCATTTTTTTTTAGAAATCTACGTAAATTAGATTCTGCTAATCGACTTCTATTGACTGGTACACCTATCCATAACAATATTACAGAATTATGGTCTTTACTGCATTTCTTGATGCCACATATATTTAATAATGTTGACACTTTCGCGTCCCTTTTGATGTTACAGGACATGGACGTAAGTTTAAACATTTATTTATTTAATGAATTATCCTAGTAAAAGTTTATTTACTCGTATTCCTATTTTATATTCACTAAATATACCAATTTATTTGAAATCAAAACTTACTTTAACAATTTATCTTTACAATATTTATTTCTAAACTAAGTAACGGCAAAAGAATCAACTTATACACCGTGTCCCACGTAAGGCGGGCATTACAACTTTATGGAGAATAAATTAATTTGTATTTTCGCCATTTTCTGAGTATACATAATCGAATATGCTCTTTTGAATTAAAATAAAATGAACTCTGTGCAACTTCCGGTTATACCGGAAGTGACCACTAACTTCGTTATTTTAAAGGGAAAACCCCATATTTTTTTTAATTTTAGATTCAGCATTAAATTCTGTAAACAACGATACCCCATTTGCCTATTCTAGTTATAGCGGATTTGGCGTTATTCAATTTTTTTCTACATTTTTAGTCGCCGGTAGACATTTTCTTAAAGTCGTCTATCTCAGGTACTATATCTATCAGATACTTAAAATTTTAACCAGAGGTAGTAGATGGGATGTACTTCTTGAGAATATTTAGTTATTCATTATTTGTTGTACGGGGTGTTTGCAAATTATTTTTAAAAATGAAATTTTTTAAACATAAAAAACTTTTTTATTTTAAAGGGAACACCCTATATGTTTTTTAAATTTAGGATTCAGCATGAAATTCTGTAAACAATGATACCATATTTGCCTATTGTAATTATAGCGGATTTGGCGTTATTCATTTTTTTTTTGAATTTTTTAGTCGTCGCGCCGGTAGGCATTTTCTTAAAGTCGACTGTCTCAGGTACTATTTCTGTTGGATACTTGAAATTTTAGCCATAAGTAGTAGATGGGATTTACTTTTAAAAACATTTACAGTTTTTCTGCAACAAAATATGTCGTTTAAAAAGTTTAAATTTTTTTAATGATAAGGTACATACTAACTAAAAACAATTTTTATTAAAAGCACATGGTTTAAAAAAATAATTTTATCAAATATTCAAAATGCCCCCCGTTAGCTTCTAAACATTTTAACAATCTTTTTTCAACATGATTAGTTGTTGCTTTACTAATCATTTCACCATCTAACTCGTTAAAGGCATTCCGAACTCTTTGCTCTAATTCTTCTTTAGTATTAATTTGGGTAGAGTTCACTAAATTTTTAATATGACCCCATAAAAAAAAATCAACAGGAGTTAGATCTGGCGATCTTGCAGGCCAAAGCCAATGACCATTTGGACCTATCCATCGGTCTTCAAAGAGTGCTGTAATTTCTTGATTTACATAGTATGTTGAATGTGCTGGGGCACCATCCAACTGGTACCAAAAATTATTATTTGGTAGCTGGTTTAAAATGTCGGCAACTACTTCTCTAAGAATTCTAATGTATCTTTCTGAGGTCAGTCTTTCATTATAAATGTAATAAAAAGCTCTTCCAAAACCGATCACTGCAAACACATTAAAACTAAATTCGTACTGAAATTGTGCTTCACGATAAAAATGTGGATTTTCGTTTGCCCAGAAATGACATTGCTTGCGATTGATGATCCCTTTACGTGTAAATTTCGACTCGTCTGACCACAAAATTTTGTTTAAAATCTCGGGATCTTCTTGAATTCGTACCAATAACCATTCGCATAATTCAGTTCGTCTTATTTGATCACCATCTCGCAACTCATGAACTTTTCTTTGTGCATAGGGATGCCATTTATTTAGTGCTAAAATTCGTTGTATTGACCCTCGACTAATATTTAAATTATCTTGAGCCATTCTAATGGAGGCGTGAGGATACGCAGTAAAATACCCTAATACGTTAATTAGATTAACTTCTTCATCTCGGACATAATGTTGACGGTTTCTTCCCGGGTTTTGTTTAAAATTATTCAAAAAGTTAGCTTCGATTCTATCAAATTTCTGTCTGTTCATTGGTGGTAAATGAAGGTATCGTTCATTAAACATGCGGCAGGTTCTACTTTTGATTCGATTACATTCTCCATGAATGTAAAATAAATTAAGAATATCTTGGTTGGTATATTCTTCAATATTTTCCATATTTTCCATATTTTGAACGCAAAAAATACACAACTTAAATACATAGAAATATGACAATTCAGTTTGTTGACAGATTGTTGTTTAGCATATTTTCACGGCATACTAAGATAAAAAATTTAAATTTAAATTTTCTTAAAATTGGCGAGAGATAATTATAGGGAATTAATAGTGCAAATGAAGATCAATGAAGAATAATTTTCTGAACAAAATGAAATAAAAATATACAGGATATACGGCATATAAAAGTTTATAAAAAACTGAATAACGCCAAATACACTATAATTAGAATAGGCGAATGGGGTATCATTGTTTACAGAATTTCATGCTGAATCTAAAATTTAAAAAATATATAGGGTGTTCCCTTTAAAATAAAAAAGTTTTTTATGTTTAAAAAATTTCATTTTTAAAAATAATTTGCAAACACCCCGTACAACAAATAATGAATAACTAAATATTCTCAAGAAGTACATCCCATCTACTACCTCTGGTTAAAATTTTAAGTATCTGATAGATATAGTACCTGAGATAGACGACTTTAAGAAAATGTCTACCGGCGACTAAAAATGTAGAAAAAAATTGAATAACGCCAAATCCGCCATAACTAGAATAGGCAAATGGGGTATCGTTGTTTACAGAATTTCATGCTGAATCTAAAATTAAAAAAAAAAATATGGGGTATTCCCTTTAAAATAACGAAGTTAGTGGTCACTTCCGGTATAACCGGAAGTTGCACAGAGTTCATTTTATTTTAATTCAAAAGAGCATATTCGATTATGTATACTCAGAAAATGGCGAAAATACAAATTAATTTATTCTTCATAAAGTTGTACCCGCCTTACGTGGAACACGGTGTATACAAAAATGGTAAGCTCTAGAAAAATCCAGTTCTGCCTTAAAGAATTTCGAAGCTCCGAACATTTCTCAAAACCCTTTCTCCAAGATAAATAACTTTCCAGTAACTTCTCGAGTCTCGGGCGATAAAGATCAGCTTGAAAATGGCTCGCACGACAGTAGACCGGATAAATAGTTTAACTGTTCTTTTATTACACAGCAGTTTTTAATTTTTGTTTGTATTTTTAAGGATGAAAACAAATTGCTCGAACAAGAGGAAAAAACGAATTTAATATCGACTCTTCATCGAGTTTTGGAACCATTTGTTCTAAGACGACTCAAAAAAGACGTTTTGGGCGATAACGTACCTAAAAAGGAAGCGAACATTTATTGTCAACTATCGAAACTACAACGTGACCTGTACTCCTATGTCCTTAATAAAAATCTTACGTCGCTGTTCAGAATAGTCGAAGAAGTAAGTCTTTTTATAAATGAAATATATACAGTGTGTCCATGGATGGGGTCCCCAAGGGGGAAAACATCTTTATTATTCATTTTACGACCAAAAGTCATTCTTTATAAAAAGTTCTACTTGTTGAGAAAATGGAGTTGCCTTATAAAAATTTTAGATTAAATGTACAGGATGTTAATAAATTAGGAAAATATGAAAATGCTTCAAGAGGGAAGTACCGTTATTTATTATTTTTAACAAAAATTTTATAGAACAAAGTTGTTTATAAACTAGCATAGAGACTAAATACAATTTTTTAAATAAAAATTCCAATATTTTAAAATAGAATATTAATAATTATTACTTTCATGTAATAATTTGCATTTTACAAAAAAAAATCAAGATAGCCGATTTTGTATACGTTCATGTTATGTCAGCATTTTATTTACATCTGTCAGTATTTTTGACAACTTTGTTTTATAAAATTTTTGTTAAAAATAATAAATAATGGTACTTCCCTCTTGAAGCATTTTCATATTTTCCTAATTTATTAACACCCTGTACATTTAATCTAAAATTTTTATAAGGCAACTCCATTTTCTCAACAAGCAGAACTTTTTATAAAGAATGACTTTTGGTCGTAAAATGAATAATAAAGATTTTTCCCCCTTGGGGACCCCATCCATGGACACACTGTATATACAATGTGGAACAGCTAAATGGAATAAATTGGTGTTTTTAGTTGCTCATTTTTCTTTAACAAAAACTTTTTATACAGGGTGTCATGTAACAATGGCCAATACCAACTTTCTTTAGAAAATTCTAGACATATTTTATATCCTATGTCCTATACCTGTTTCGGAAATATGTAATGCGTTACTAAAAATACCAGTCGACGTGTCCATTTATTCCCTTTGGCTGCTTCACACTGTATATACAAAATTGCCGTAATGCTCTATTACTGGGTGGCACATCCTATACACGTCAGTCTCCGTAGGGAAAGCGGCTTAACAATTATATTTTTTATCTTAACAATGATGAATAATGTGGAATGCATTAAATAAATGTATTTAATCAACGACTGGTTTTATTAAGTTTTCATAAAGAACAAAAGTGAATTGCACTTTTTATTTTAACATCAGTTTTACAAGTAGTAAAAAAAAAGGTGACATCAGACAACTGACAGAATACAAGTGACATCAATCATAGATCATGAACTAATTAGACATTAACAAATATAAGGGTAGGGGTTACAAAGATACAAATGAGAATTATATTTAACACCCCCTCTCAATTTAAATGCATTAATACAATAAAATATAAAATAAAATTAATTCATTTAAATTGCATAAAGAAAATCTAAATACTTACAAACATCAAAAGATATTAAACAAAATAAACCTAAATTCTACTTTAACAAACTTAGTCTTAAGTTGTGAAACTTTTCCTAACATAGTGCTTTTGTAAAGATATCTGCACAGTTTTCACAGGAGCTTACATATTCTATTAAAATGTCTTTCTTTAACCAAAGTTCTTTGATAAAATGGTATTTAATTTCAATATGCTTACTACGTTTAGAGTTTTCGAAATTCTTAATTACCGATATAGCACTGAGATTATCAATTTTTAATATTAATGGTTTGAACTCACCAAACTCCGACAAAATCCCTTTTAAATTAACAAGTTCTTGTGCGGCGTAACCAGCAGACATATTCTGCCTCTATCGATGATAAGGATATACAATCTTGCTTTCTAGAATGCCAAGCTATTGGATTGTTGGCATGAAAACAAACAAATCTACTTACGCTTTTGCGAGTTTGTCTATCACCACCCCAATCTGCGTCACACATAGCTTCCAAACCAGAGTCATTTTTTTCATATACCAAACCATAGTCTTTTGTAGCACTAAGGTAGCGAAAAATTCTTTTTCCTGCTTTCCAGGCACTCAAAGGTGGTTTATCCAAATACCTACTCAGGTACGAAACACTAAAGGTAATATCTGGCCGCGAAGTAACTGACAGATACATTAGGCTACATATTAATCGTCTATAAGGCACATTAGTTATAATTTCGTCATCACTGTTTATTTGGAAATTTAATTCCATGGGCGTACTCACAGGTCGACATTCATCCATGGAAAATTCATTTAATAATCGTGAAATCATTTTAGTTTGTGTAATTTTGAGTCCATTATCTAAGTGGGTTATTTCCATACCCAGAAAGTTCGAAACGTTATCAACTATTTTTACGTTAAATTGTTCATGTAAATTTTTAATCAATATATTGACCTGTTCCTCAGGCCCGATTATCAAAGCATCATCAACGAATAGCACTAAATAAACTTGATCTTTTATATATAAACAATAGTCAAAGGCAGACCTCCTGAACTTTAAATTCAATATTACTTCATTAAATTTTATGTTCCAACATTTTGAAGCATTTCTTAGTCCATATAATGCACGATTTAATTTTAAATACTTTACATTAGTCTGCAACCCTTCAGGTGGTTTAATATAAATGTCATTATCTAATGTACCATTTAAAAAGGCAGTTGGAACATCGATTTGTTTCAGTTTCCAACCCTTTTGAACAGATACTGACATTAATATTCTAATTGTGGGTAGTCTACAAACTGGCGCATAACTGTATTCTTCTCCAGTATTAGGTACTTGAAACCCCCTGGCAACGAGACGTACCATATTCTTTAATTTTAAATACCCACCTTGTATCAATAGCTGTATGTCCTCTAGGTAAGTCCATTGTAGTCCAAGTTTGTAGTTTCTTGAATGAATCCAATTCATTATTTATTGCTTGCAGCCATTCCTCTGATTCACATGCCTCTTTATATGTTTTAGGTTCTTCGTCTGTAGCAGTAAGTAGACAATAAGCAGCGTATGTTTCAGAGTCTTCTAAATGTTTTGGTTTCACAATATTTCTTCCTGATTTTGTAGTCATATGCACCTCTGGCAAAATTTCTTCATCACTTGAGCTTTCTTCACTTTCTTCTTGTTCCTCATTTTTGGTTTCATTTATTGTACTTTCATCTAAATTATTTGTTTCTTCAATATTAACATTGTCATCTTCAGGTATAAATATTTGTTCATTCTGTATTTTTTCTTTAAACTCCATCACGTGTTCATCAACTCGTACATCTCTACTTTTAACAACTTTTTCTTCTTCTGGTAAATATAATCTATAACCTCCTCCACAATAACAGCTTTCTTTGCTTTAGGTTCTAATTTGCTTTCTTTTGGTAATAAAGTATACCAGACACGGCACCCAAATATTTTTAATTTGCTTATATCATTTCTCCCATGCCAATAGTCTGAAGGAGTTTTGCCTCTTGGTAGGGCAGAAGTTGGAGTTCTGTTCAATTCATATGCTGAGCACTTTAGTGCTTCTCCCCACAGCATCTTATGTATATTTGAATCAATAATTTTGGTTCTTACCATGTTTAATAGTGTGCGATTCATTCTTTCTGATTTGCCATACACTTGGGGGCTATAGGGCATTGTATATTCTAATTTAATGCCCTTTTGTTTACAAAATTATTGAAAACCTTTTGAAGAAAATTCTCCACCATTATCTAGTCTCAAACGCTTTACTTTCACATCATGTTGTCTTTCCATCTCTGTGATATACTCTTTTAAGTTGTCTTCTGCTTCATTTTTATAATTCAAAATTTTAACAACTACAAAATGGGAATAATCATCTAGTATTGTTTGAAAGTATTTACCTCCATGCATAGTGCATGGGGTTATTGGCCCACATATGTCACTGTGGATCAGTTCACCTATAGCATTTGTGTGTTTTTCATTTGTTGTAAAAGGAGACCTAGTTGCTTTTCCCTCTACACATGTAGAACATGTTCTATCAATCATATTCCAGCCTAACTGTGACAAAGCATCTTTTCTAGCATGGCCTAATCTTCTGTGCCAAATATTTTCAGCTAGTGTCACATGACAATTTTCATTTTCTCTAAAAATGATATCTTTATTCAATACATATAAACCATTTTCATTTTGACAAGTTAGTGTAAAGTTATGTCCATTAATTGTTGCTTGATCTTTTTCAAAAATGATTTTATGTCCTTTTGAGGTCAATTTTGATGCAGACAAAAGATTATGTTTAATTTTTGGTACTATTAATGCCTTAATACTTATGGTTTGACCTTGACATTTAGCTTTCAACAATCCTTTTTTATTTGTTTTTAAAATTTCACCATTTGCAATATGTATCGATCAGTGGCGGCTCGTGGGGTGGTTCACAGTGACAGAATATAGGTATCAGTACAGATGTATGAAAAAACTTTCAGTGTTTTAGAAAGTTTATAATATACCTTTCTAAAACACTGACAGTTTTTTACCTATATCTGTACCGGGATCTATATTCTGCTACTGTGAACCCCAAAAATTTTGGTCACCAGCCGCCCCTGGTATCGATACAGGATTTGGCAAGGTTTCAATATTAAACATATATTTTTCAAGATTTGCTTGAACAAAATGATTACTAGCCCCTGAGTCTAATACGAGTCTAGTCTTGCCTTTAAATTCGTTGCATACATTTGCAGCATATAATATTATTGGTTGTGGATCTTCATTCTCTTCATGGTATTGACCTGCAGTATTAGTTTGCTGATATTGCTGATTTATTTGACTTCTATAAATGTGACCTCTGTAATTATTATTTCTTCCTCGATAATTCCCTCTATATGAACCTCTGTAACTGTTATTCGACTTTGTACTTCTTTTTGGACACTGTGATTGATAGTGTTGAAAACTTCCACATGTAAAACAGCCTTTACTACTTGTTGCATTAAAACTTACTTCATTTTCAATTTGTTTACCCTCCATTTTAGAGTTAATTTTAATTTCTTCATCCAGCAATCTAGCCTTTACAAAATCTATTTTAACATCTGTGACTGTTTCTAGTGCTGTAATTAGTGTGTCAAATTTGGATGGAAGAGACAATAATAAGTGACAAACTTTATCACCTTCATCTATGTTTGACCCCAAGTCTTTTAATTCTCTTATTATAGTATCAAATTTCAGGAAATGATCTTCCAACTTTTCATTTGTTTCAGACTTTAAATTGAGTAATTTCCTCCATAAAGAGAATTTAGTGAAAAAACTTGTTCTATTAAACACTGCTTTTAGGGCATTTATTTGTTCTTTTGCAGTTGTACAGTCTTTTAGTATATCTAAATGTTTGTCTGAAACACCTTGAACAATGATAGACTGTGCTTTGGCATCAGCCTTTTTAAATTTATTTTGCACTTCAGCTGTAGCTGTCGCAATTGGTGGGGACTCTAGCGCTTCTTCACAATTCTCACGTTTTAATATTGTATTTATACGAAATTGCCAGTTATTAAAATTGTTTGCTGCTAAAATAGGCACCATCAAATTATAATTTACTCCCGCCATTATCGTTTTTTAACAGTATTTGTAAAGTCAAAGTTTGCCCGACTTTATTCAAAACTTTTTGACACTTATTAACAACCAGCCACTTTTGCAAAATACAACTGGGCGCATAACCTTATGAATAATGTGGAATGGATTAAATAAATGTATTTAATCAACGACTGGTTTTATTAAGTTTTCATAAAGAACAAAAGTGAATTGCACTTTTTATTTTAACATCAGTTTTATAAGTAGTCAAAAAAAAGGTGACATCAGACAACTGACAGAATACAAGTGACATCAATCATAGATCATGAACTAACTAGACATTAACAAATATAAGGGTAGGGGTTACAAAGATACAAGTGGGAATTATATTTAACAAACAAGGATACAAGGGGTCATTAACACTAGAAATTAAAAATAATTTTGATTAAACAAGGTGATCCAAAAATAAGAATGAATATCAAAGTTGTTTTTAAATGAAATACCTCGTATTTGTTGGTGTCTTAATTTTGATTCCACGGAAAAAATAAAGTTTGTTTCCTCTTGGTTTTTTTGAATTTTCCACTAGCCTCAGCAAATGCAAAATATTTCTGTTTTTCAATCTGTAATTAAATTATAATCTTGAATTTTGTAAAGCCTTTAGGACCACGTAGGAAAAGAAAGTTAGTAGAATATCTCGAAGATTCGGACGACGATTTTTCTGACGAAGAACCAAAAATAGCAAACGCGCAAGCGCTCAAGTCAAACAAGAAAATAGAGAAGGAACAGGCCCAATTTGCAATACGCTTAACGATGGGCAATCCTATGATGATGTTCAAAAAAATCGTCGATCATCCTTACCTCGTGCATTTCCCCTTAGATCCGGACGCTCCTACGAAAAGTCTCTTAATTAACGAAGATTTAATTACTAGCAGCGGTAAAATGATAGTCTTGGAACAAATGTTAGAAAGACTAAAAGAAAATGGTCATAAGGTTTTGCTATTTAGTACATTGGTGATGACTTTAGATCTAATTGAAGAATTTTTTATTATGAGAGATTACACGTACAGGAGACTTGACGGTAGTCACAATTTAGAACAGAGGAAAGACAGTATTGATAGCTTTAATAACGATCCTAATATATTGGCATTTCTTATATCAACTCGTTCAGGAGGACTAGGACTTAATTTGGTAGGAGCGGATACTGTCATTTTCTTCGATAGAGATTGGGTAAGTTTCATTTATACAGAATTAATAATTGATAATAATTGATAATAATTGATAATAATTGATAATAATTGATAATAATTGATAATAATTGATAATAATTGATAATAATTGATAATAATTAATTGATAATAATTGATAATAATTGATAATAATTGATAATAATTGATAATAATTGATAATAATTGACAATAATTGATAATAATTGATAATAATTGATAATAATTGATAATAATTGATAATAATTGATAATAATTGATAATAATTGATAATAATTGATAATAATTAATAATAATTGATAATAATTGATAATAATTGATAATAAATGATAATAAATGATAATAATTGATAATAATTGATAATAATTGATAATAATTGATAATAATTGATAATAATTGATAATAATTGACAATAATTGATAATAATTGATAATAATTGATAATAATTGATAATAATTGATAATAATTGATAATAATTGATAATAATTGATAATAATTGATAATAATTGATAATAATTGATAATAATTGATAATAATTAATAATAATTGATAATAATTGATAATAATTGATAATAAATGATAATAAATGATAATAATTGATAATAATTGATAATAATTGATAATAATTGATAATAATTGATAATAATTGATAATAATTGATAATAATTGATAATAATTGATAATAATTGATAATTGATAATAATTGATAATAATTGATGATAATTATATTAGTATTAATGATAATAATTGACATTAACTAACGTTAACTGAATTGAGGTTAATTGATGTTAATTAAGATTAATTGAGGTTAATGGATATTAATTGGTGTTGATGGCTATTAATTGAGGTTAATGGATGTTAATTGAGATTAATTGTGGTCAATGGATGTTAAGTGTTGTTAATTAATGTTAATTTATACCAATTTATGTTAATTGATTGATAATAATTGATGATTGATATTTGTTGATAATTCATAGTAATTATTGATAAATATTGTTAATTAATATTGATGATTGATAAATAATAATAATAATGAATGATAATTATTGACATTAATTAAAACGTTCATTGAGGTTAATTGGTGTTAATTAAGATTAATTGGTGTTAATTGAGATTGACCGATATTAATTGAGGCAAATGGATGTTAATTGTTGTTAATTGATGTCGAATAATGTTAATTTATACCAATTTATGTTAATTGATGTTAACTGATATTAATTGATATTAATTAATTGATACTAATTAATTGATAATAATTAATTGATAATGGATAATGATTGATAATAATTGATAATTAATAATTATTATTAAATAATAATAGACTTTTGCATAATTATTGAACAATATAAAGGGATACGTAAAATTAAGTACCTACTATTTATCGATATTATTTAAATATTACTTTTAGAATCCCCAAGTCGATATTCAAGCTCAGGACCGTTGCCATAGAATTGGACAAACAAAACCCGTAATGGTTTATACTTTAGTCTCAAAAGGTACCATTGATGAACAAATAATTGAAACTGGACACAAAAAAAGGTTATTAGAGAAAGTCGTTATTAAAGATGGTAAGTCTATTTGGTGATCCGAACTATTGCAATAATTTTGTACAGGTATCCCTCAGTGTTCACATATTGGTCCATAGTTATTCTTAATGATTGTAAATCTTGTCTTTGTTGTAGTCAGTTGTTGATAACTTATCTTTTTTATTCATTCTTATTCTCCCGATCAATTGCTCGATCTGCAAATAATACTAAGTAATAAATATTTGAGGAATGCCGAAATATTTTCAAATTTATTAATTGTTTTATGTATGACTTTGCTCAGAAATTAAACAAGAGTGATAATGCAAAATGGTATGGCATAAATGCCTTGAGTTTTAAATTTTTATGAATAATAACTTTTTCCTAAAATTAACAATAAAAAGCTATGAGGAAAAAAGGTAATTCTTCATAAAAAGACGAGCATAGTCTAAAACCAAGAGATATCAAATTTTGTCAGTCGTATACGAGGTTTGTCAAAAATAAAGGTACTTTTCTCTTCACCAAAATTGATATTATTTGACATACTATTCTAAAAAATTTGATATATGATGGTTGCATTTTAGGTTTTAGACAAAGTTTCAACTTTATTTATTTTACGGCGGGGTTGGTTTTGGTTATTATTTTAATATTTGGATTAATTACTTAAATTATTATTGGTGATTGAATAGAATAATCGTTAATTTATTAATTGATTGATTGGTTTGGCAAGGCACTCAGGGTTGGCCTGATGAAATAATGAAATATGTTAGATGTATTTCCAACACATGTTAACAAATGCACAACGTGCAAGTTATTTATTAAATTATGTTGATACGACTAATATAAACGTTACAATTTTAGGAAAATTTCAGAAAGTGGTGGGTAAAAAAGGCGATGCCGCAAAGTTACAAAGCGAACTGGTAGAATTACAAAAGTTATTGAAGGACGATAGCCATCAAAGACAAGCTTTGGCATCCATCGAAGCAATGGAAAAATTACTGGATAGATCGGAACTGTACGCCCAAATGAACATGAAATATAAACCTGTCAAAAGGAATAATAATAATAATATTGACGAGAAAGAAAATAAAATGAACTATTGAGGAAACTTGAAAAATGTGATTTTAAAAATGTGATTTTAAATACACTCCGCACAAAAATTAACGCATCATTTCAATTTTCTTACAAAACGTAAAATTTTTGCAATTTTTTTTTAAAAGTTTGGTGTCTTATAAATTAACTATTTGCATGCAATGATGGCAAAAAAATAAAACTTAAGAAGGGACCAAATAAATTTATTCGATTTTTTTACATTAAAAAAAGTAATTTGGGTGCAATCGATAAATTAAAAAAAAAAATAATGCTTTGTATTACCACCCTGTGCTCTAAGTACTGTCGGACATCGACGTGGCATACTTAAAATCAGGCTTTCCATCAATTGTTTCGGAAAATTGTCCCATTCCTCGGTTAGAGCATTTTAAAGTTGATTTAAGGTGTTAGGAACAATTGGTCGATTTCGTACTTGTGATAAATTGTCCCAGGCATGCTTTATTGGATTTAAAGACTTAGAGCTGACCAATCCAATGTGTGAATACCAACTTCGTTAAGGTTAAAGCTGTGTGTGGGCGAGCGTTGTCTTGCATAAAAACAAAATTGTCACAAATGAATGGACAGTAAGGTACAACATAGGGTTGAAGAATGTCCATTACATATCTTGCAGCTGTTAAATTTTTTGTTTCTTTAGCGAATTCCCTTTTCCTTGTTTCAGTATTTTTAATGAAAACCACTTTATTCCTTTTACATTTTATTGTTCTATAACATACAATTTACAAAAACCTTAACCCTTCTTCTTCTATCGAATTGGAAAAAAAATGTGAATAGGATATAGGGTTTTTGGATGACAACTGACATGACATACCTGACATTTGACATAGTGGGTTTTTAGCGATTCGCTCAACACCCCCCTCGCTAAAATCCCGCATGCTCAATAAGCTTCTAAACTTAACAAATAATTGATAACTAAGTGCCTTTATCAGCATGTCTGCTACTTGATTACATGTATCTATATAAACTAAATTAATGCAGTTCTCTTCAACTTTTTCACAAATAAACTTATACTTAAGATTGATATGCTTGACACTTTTGTTGTTGCTAGGATTTTTAATTATTGAAATAGTTCCCTGTGTATAACTGTGATTGTAATTAGTATAATCACCAGTCACGAGTAATATGGAAATTAAAAGAGCGTGGTTCTACTTCAGCCATTTATTAATAACTCTATTCTACAATTCCGTTAACTGTCAACTGTCCGCTCGCAGGCGGTTTTGCCAGAGTAGGCCACAGGCCTTTTACTACTTAACATCCTCCTTTTACAGATTCAGCCTCTCAGGAGCCTTTACCATACGACCTGAAAAAGTAGTTGTTTACATAAGTCTCCTCAGAGCCTTAACTCTGTGCGTTTACAGTATTACCCTCACTTGACATTACTTCTAGTTCCGAACTTTCTTCACTTGTTTCATATTCGGCACTGTCACCTTCATTCACATCATTCTGTTGTTCCTCTACTCTATCTTCTTCAAAATCTAATTCTATAAAGTATTATCTACTGTCTAATTCCCTTTCTTCAATTTCAGTTTGTAATGGAACATGGTTCAATTTTGTTTCGATCTGATTATATAATTTAGGTTTTATAAATTTTCTATTGCGTATCAGTATTGAACCATATTTCATTTTGATTTGATATGAACCGTCCCTTATTTGTTTTATTATAATACCTGGCAACTACTCAGACTTGGGTTTTAATTATACATAAACTTCAGTTCCTGGTGTAAGTGGTTGCAATGTTTTATTTTGTTAAGGTATTGTTGTTCTAAGTTTGCGGGACATTAATAATTCAGCGGGTGAGTGAGTACCATCAATAAGCATATTACGATAAAACAGTAAAGCAAGGTATATGTCCCTTTTTTCATCTAAAACTTTTTTAAACATGTTTTTGGCGGATTGAATATTTCTTTCTGCTGGACCATTTTATTGGGCATATGTAGGGGAGGACATAATGTGGTCCCATGTCTGAGTAAATTTTCTAAATTCCCATGAATTGAATTGAGGCCCCCCATCAGAAATTACGGTATGTGGTATACCATGTCTAGCAAAAATGGACTTAAGAAATTCTATCGCTGTAGTACTAGTCGTATCACTGACTAGTTTCTCTATTTCTACATATTTAGAGTAATAGTCAGTTACTAGTAAGTATTTATGACCTCTTAACTCGAATAAATCACATCCTACTTTACACCAAGGTAGGTTTGGTATTTCGTGGTTATTTAATGGTTCAGAAGATTGAGATTTTGAGTATTTTATGCACAGCTCACAATTTTGAATTTTTTGCTTTATTTCATTTACCATGATAGGCCAAAAAATTGCATCTTGTGCTGCTTTAACACACTTATTGATACCTAAGTGGTTATAATGTATCGTATCTATCATTTCTTTTTCCAGTATTGTTTTATACTGTCAGGAATTTTTTTAATAGTATTAGGCCAACCATCTAAAATTACCTTTTTTAAATGTTGTAAAGTTTCATCAGAGTTAGTTTTTTTTTAAATTCTTGCAATTTCCCTGAAGTTATATTTATTTCTGAAATTATTAGACAAACCTGATTTTCAATCTCTCTATCAAGTCCATCATCTGTAATATCCTTTATGTAAGCTCGAGAGAGTGCATCAGCTATTAAAAGGTCCTTACCTGGTTTACTACTGACTGCGCCATGTATAACTGTGATTGTAATTAGTATAATCACCAGTCACGAGTAATATGGAAATTAAAAGACCGTGGTTCTACTTCATTCATTTATTAATAACTCCATTCTACAATTCCGTTATCTGTCAACTGTCCGCTCGCAGGCGGTGTTGCCAGAGTAGGCCACAGGCTTTTTACTACTTAACACCCTGATTATCTTTAAATATGGTAATGGACTCTATATTTATGGAAAAATCTTTTAATAGTTTTTGAAGCCATAGACCTTCACATACGGCTCCCGTAAGAGCTACTAACTCAGTCTCGCAGGTTGAAAGTGTTACGTGGTGTTGTTTTCTTGTTGCCCAAGTAACAATATTATCAAATATCTTGTAAAAATACCCTGATACTGATCCGCGATCAATAGAATCCTCTCCCCAATCAGCATCAACAAAACATACCAATTCAGTTCCTTCAGGTCTACGTTTATATTCAATTCCAATAGATGCAGTACTTTTCAAATACTTTAAAACTTTTTTTAAGTGATATAAGTCTCATCTGACGCTCTATCTTGATAGCGACTAAAAAAATTTAAAGCAAAACAGATGTCAGGTCGCGTTCCCAACATTAAATACATTAGACTACCAACTAAAGACCTAAAGGGTTGTTTAGTTAAGTTATTTTCGTCTGTACAAATGTTTAGGATCCATTGGTATATTTGAATTTCTGCAATTGTCCATACCAAATCTATTTAAAATACTTTCTATATAACTTGTCTTGACTTATTTTCAAAATGCCCAATTCCCTATTATAGTCAATTTCAAATCCTAAAAAGTTCTTTAATTTAATTCTAAATTTTGAAGTTAATTTTTCTATTATAATATTTATCAAATTTATATTTTTCCCAGCAATAACAATATCGTTTACATACAGAATTAAAAATACCTTTTCTACATCATTAGAGAATATATATAAACAAAAATCATTTTCTCATCTTATAAAACCAATTTCCAATAATTAGGTATTTATCTCAGAATTCCAACACCTAGATGATTGTTTTAATCCATAAAGGGACTTCTTTAACTTAGAAACCTTTTTATTATCACAATATACACCCTTTGGTGAATAAATATAAACATTTTTGTCTATTTTTGCATTTAAAAAGGCTGACCTTACATCTAGTTGTTGAAAGTGAAATAATAATTGATTTCCTATGATTAATAACAATCTAATTGCAGTCATGCTTGCTACTGGCGAATACAAATCATTATAATCAATATAATTTTGTGCAAACCCTCTTACAACTAACCGTGCCTTGTATTTATCATTTTCATTGTCCTCTAATCTTTTATAAGCATATACCCACTTTGTATCTATAATTTTACTGCCCTGTGGTTTTTCTGCAATCTCCCAAGTATCGTTTTTTGACTCTAACTCTATTTTCATAGCTTTCTCCCATTTACTCCTATCATCCCTATACTCAATTTCATCAAAACTCTGTGGCACATCATCAATAAATTGCATTGCATTAAGAGCCATATATAATCGATAATCGTCATGTCTTGCAGGTGGCGTTTACCCTGTCTAGAATCATTTTCATTATCTATATCACCTGTTTTATTTTCACCCTCTACATTATTTCCAGTAATATTATCTAAACCTTTCAAATCTGATCCTATATTTTCATCTGCATCATTTCCCTCAATTAGTATTTCTGCATTATTTTTGTTGTAATAGAAGCAACTTTCATCAAATTTTACATCCCTACAAATTAAAATGTTTTGCCTTTTAAAATCCCATAATCTATAACTGTTTGTTGTATATTCTACCATAATACATTTTTCAACTTTTAGTCAAATTTATTTCTTTCCTCTTTTCTCAAATGACTGTAAGCAATAGTTCCAAAAATCTTTAAATTGTTAACATTAGGTTTACGATCATACCAAAATTCTGTAGGAACTTTATCTTTTAACTGATCTGTTGGTGACCTATTTATAACATAATTTACATTTAGAATAGCTTTATTCCAAAGCTCTTTTGGTACCCCTGAATTGTTAATAATTGCCCTAGCTCTTTCCACCAGGCTCCTATTCCACCTTTCTGCCTTATCATTCTGTTGCGGTATATAAGGAACTGTGTAATCTTGAATAACCCCATTTTGTTTACAAAATTCACGAAATTCGTTTGATATATACTCCCCCCCATTGTCACATCTCAATTTTGAGATTGAAAAACCAAACATGGACTTTGTCATCAGAAAATATTCTTTGAATTTAGAAAATGCCTCACTTTTATATTTTAAAGTATAAACTAATGTAAAATTGGAGAAATCATCAATGAAAGTAATAAAATACTGCCATCATGTGCAGCAGGCGTTATTGGTCCAGATACGTCCGTATGGACTATTTCAACAATCTAGTACTCCTATGTCTAGAACCAAAAGGTTTTCTCGTCATTTTTCCGGCTGAACAAGCTTTACAAAATTCTACTGGTGAAAATTTAACATTATCTATACCTTCAAACAATTATTTTTATTTATTAATAACTTCAAACTATTAAAATTTAAATGAGCAAACCCTTGATGCCATCTTTCAAACTCATTACTTTTAACATTTACATTTTTAACGACATCATGTGTTATCTCATATAAACAATTTCTCTTTCCCAAACTTATTATTTCATTTTTATAAATAAACTTGAATAAACCTTCTTCAAAAATTATTTGTTGCCTGCCATTTCTAGTTTTTTTGACAGATAGCAAATTCTTTCGTAAATCTGGTATGTATAATACATTTTAAATATTACAATTTATTTTCTTCTCTCCAAATGTACTTATGCCCA